CCAGGACTAAGGTGACTTGGCCTGTTGGCTAGAAAAACAATTGAATTGCATGCAAGATTAATGGCTCTTGTCCCCAAGGGAATCCCTCACTGGATCTGCAAGGCAAACCCTTTATTCCCGTTCCATGGGATCAGAGCCAACACAGCAGGAGTGGGCTGCAGGCGGACACTTTGCAGTATTGGGACTCCTGGGTCCTATCCTGGCTGGCCAAAGGGAAAAAGCAATGACGAAGTTGACACATGGTAAGGAGGCTGGACTTGGGTGGAAAGAGAGATGAGGAGCTAGAATCAGAGCACTGCCCCAGGCCCCAGGATTCAGTCTAAGGGAAGGGCACCTGGCCTGGGCAGGGACTGATATAGCAGAGCTCTCTCCCAGGCTACATTCACCTCCAGGCATCATTGCCTAGCAGTGTTAAATTTACAAAGAGCTCTGACAGCCATAATCTTACTCAGCCTCCAGGAGAGCCCTGTAAAGTGGTGACTGCTCTTACATCCATGACCAAAGCCTTGAAAACAGTCTTAGAACAGTTTCCCCTCTTGCATCCGTTTCAGTTCAGTTCAGTTGTTCATTCGTGTCCGACTCTTTGCGACAACATGGACTGCAGCACACCAGACCTCAATGTCCATCACTAACTTCCAGAGCTTGTTCAGACTCATGTCCATCAAGTCAGTGATGCCATCCAACCATCTCATCCTCTGTTGTCCCCTTCTCCTTCTGCCTTCAAACTTTCCCAGCATCAGGGTCTTTTCCAATGAGTCAGTTCTTCACATCANTTCCATGTCCAGTTCTAATTGTTGCTTCCTGACCTGCATACAGATTTCTCAGGAGGCAGGTAAGGTGGTCTGGTATTCTCATCTCTTGAAGAATATTCCACATTTTGTTGTCATGCACACAGTCAAAAGCTTTGGTATAGTCAATAAAGCAGAAGTAGATGATTTTCTGGAACTCGTTGCTATTTTGATTATCCAGCGGATGTTGGCAATTTGATCTCTGGTTCCTCTGCCTTTTCTAAATCCAGCTTGAACATCTGGAAGTTCTCGGTTCATGTACTGTTGAAGCCTGGCTTGGAGAATTTTGAGCATTACTTTGCTAGCGTGTGAGATGAGTGCATTCTTTGGCATTGCCTTTCTTTGGGACTGGAATGAAAACTGACCTTTTCCAGTCCTGTGGCCACTGCTGAGTTTTCCAAATTTGCTAGCATATTGAGTGCAGCACTTTCACAGCATCATCTTTTAGGATGATGCATCAACTTAACAACAAACAAATAAATCCAGCTCTCTTGATCCAAAGTCTTTCGACATATATCTTCAACATACTGAGTCCTGAGTCCTTCTCTTGAATTTGCCTCCCAAACATGCCCCTTCTGCTGTGGTTTTGAAATGCCTACACATTCTTTGATACTACTCCCTTCAAGAAACGGAACCAAATTCCCCTTCTGAGGAGGTGGAGCCATAAAAGGCATGGTGGCTTCCTGCTTGTCCTCTCTCTCCTTTCTCTCCCTGCTCCCTCCCCCTGCCCCATGTTCCCCTCCCCTCCTCAGCTTCAGGAGAAGCCAGCTGCTTGTCATGAGGAGATCTATGGAGCTTAAGAAACTGAAGCCTGGGTCCTCTGACCAAAATGTGCATAAGCTTGAGAGCAGATGCTCCAGACCCATGAGAGGCACTGAGCTAGAACCACCCCTATAAACTGCTTTGGGATTTCTAACCCTCAGAAACTGGGTAAGATAATGAATGTTTTTAAGTTAATGAGTTTTGGGGTGATATTTTTTATGCAGGATTGATAACCAGTACCTCTTCCCCATTGTAGGAATTGCCTCTATCCCCCAAAACCAACTCAAACCTTTACTGGAGAGCTCAAATCATTGGGAAGTTTCCTTTTCTCTTATACTCAGGTGAAGGTGGCTCAAACGGTAAAGAATCTGCCTGCAATGCAGGAGACGTGGGTTTGATCCCTGGGTGGGAAGATCCTCTGGAGAAGGCAATGGCTACCCACTCCAGTATTCTTGCCTGGATAATCCCATGGACAGAGAAATGTGATGGACTAGAGTCCCTGGGGTCACAAGGAGTTAGACAAGACTGAGGGACTAATGCTCACAGCACACAGGTGAGACAGAACACCTGTGTTGAAATCCCTGTGGCTGCTGCTTTCTATCTGTGATATTAAATGTATTGGGCTGGTTACTTAATCTCTCTGTGCCTCAGTTTCCACATCTGTCAAATAATGATAAAAAGGAAGATTTTAAAGATTAAGTCAGGGAATAGATGTGAGAGTGCCTGGCCCAATGCTGGGCACTTGGTGGGTGCCTGAAAAATATGACCTCCCTCTGGCTCTAACTTTCTAGTTCCGGACTCCCAAGCCCCTGCCTGAACAGACTGGGACTAGGACCAAGGGTTTTAGGGGCCCCTCATCCTCTTTCTGCCACTGGAGACAGAGGAGGAAGAGATCTGCCCTGCACCAGGGGTTTTCTTCCTCCCACTATTGGGGTAAGAAGTAACTTGTCCATGAGAGGCAGATGCACTGCTACAAAGATCCCCTTGCAGATGAGGGACTGGAGCTGCACTGGCAAGGCTTGGGCTCCAGCCTGGCCACCCCTCCAACTCCTTGGAGGATGGAAAGAGTCTACTTTGCCACTCACTAATCCTCTACATATTAGGAAAACCGCTATTTCCAAGACTTTGCACATTTCTTTCCCTTTCTTCCTCCCCTCTCCCTTTATTAATTTTTAAAATTTATTTTAATCACAAATAATATGTGAAAAACAACATCAGCCAACATTTCCTGAGAACTTACCAGCCAAGGTTCTAAGACTGCTAGGTGTCTCACAAGTGTTTTATGAGGCAGGTTCCTGTATTAGCCCCATTTTACAGCTGAGAAAACCAAGGCACAGGGGCTAATGGCCCAAGGTCACACAGAGGCAAAAAGAAGCTAATGAAGCTCAGACTTCAAGGTCAGGACCTCATTACACAGTCTGTTCCAAACCTCCAGGCTTAAACTTTGTATTCTGAAGGCACAAATTGAGGCTTCAGAGTGTGTGTACTAGAAAACAGCACACACTACAAACAAATAAAAATAATTTTAAAATGCATTTACATCTATAAACATGCACACACTTAAAAAAAAAAACAAACAAACTGTGGTCCTACTGTAAGGCTTTTTTTTTTTAACAGAAAGTCTTGACTCTCCACGTTTTACTCTCCTTCCAGCTACGTCTGCCGGCTCGCCCTGTCCCCCTCCCCCCGTTCCTTCCTGCCTCCCCGGGCGCGTCCTTCCTGGGCCTCGCTTCTCACCCCGGTTTCCTCTCTCACAGCGCGCCCCTCCTCCGCTATCCTTGCTCCTTCTCCGCCGTCTCTCATGCTAACTGACTAATGCATTTCTCCCTCTCCCTGCCCCACCCCCGCGCTTGGCCATCCAGCGCACAGGCCCTTCTCCCGCCCTCGGTTGCCCTCGGCCAACCTCGCTACCCTCATTTACAGTGCCCCCGCCTCCCCGCCCCGCTTTAAATCTTTCCGCTCCCCTCCCCATCCTCGTTCCCCGCTAAGCCCTGCCACTCCGCCGCCCGGCAGGAGCGCACAGCCGGCGGGCTGCGACGCGCACTGACAGGGTAATGAATGGCTTCAGCGGTAATTAGCGACCCGGCGGCTAATCATGATGTACATTTACATTTTAAGTGCTGCAGAGGGAGCTGGAGAAGGGGAGGGGAGCGAGGGGAGGGGACGCGGGCTTTTTCCGCGGCCTCCCTTCACCGACTGGGGAGCGAAGTGAACCGAATCTTCTCCAGCTGGCGGCAGTGGAGGGGGATGGCGGTGCGAGGCTCTCCAGGGCCAACCCCGGCGAATGCAGAACTGCCTCCTCTTCAAGAGGCGTAAACGCGGAGCTCCCAGGCCCCTTCCTCCAAACTGCAGACCCCTGATTAATCCCCTCCAAGGGAACGTTCAGCCTAGGCTTACATACCCCCGTTGATGGAGAGCTCTCTTCTTCCATAACCAACCCGTTCGGAGTTAGATTCCAGCGGTTTGGGGACTTTTTCTCAGGCCTAAAGAAACTGATGCCCATTAAGGCCCACAACTGCCCCCGTTTTACAGAACCTGAGTATCCCTGAGCCTCGCCAAGCACTGCGAACTCTTGTGTCTTCACTAGACTGCTGCCCTCCGACTCCTACCGCTGTTCCTCGTGGGGGGGGGG